CATCTTAAAAAGCTGATACAAGTAAGGTAATAAAAATCATAAGCCTAGCTGGTCGAAATTATCTTCTTTAGCAGCATCATGCAAAAATAGATTCATAAAATGATCCAAAACTGGAGTAAAACTAGTACGATACTCTGCCGCAATTTTCCGCACTTTTACTTTGCCGGAATTTTTCCTTCTTCCGATTTACATCCTCTTTTCCGATTTTCGGTGTACTTTCCTCTGGCATATTGTTGTATTCGTTTGGGCTGTCGACTGGTAGTGGTGCCACTCCTCAGACAAAATTCGTTTTATCCTGGAAGACACTTGTCCATCAACCTTTGGCATCAGTGAGGGGGCAAATTGTCTTAAGGAGACACATTATGTGGGCTCGAATTTTTTCATTATTCTGCATACATTCATCTGTCTGTTCCATTATACTGACATCAAGTAAGTCTGTCCTAATTTTCATAATTGCACTATGTATGATAATTATGATTATTAATCTCCTCTGTTATATACATGGGTTCAAATCTCTTAGTAATTTAATATCACCCACTGTCTTCAAATAACAGTGGTGGTGTCAGTGGGTGGTGGTGATGGCGCTAACAATGACAGGTGATAATTTTCGTGGCTGACTGATGGTGGAGGTGATGGTTGGGGATGGCAGTGGTGGTGGCTCGAGGTGGTACTAGTTGGTGATGGTGGTGACAATGCTAGTGGTGACAGGTGGCAATTGTGGTGGTTGACTGAAGACGGTGATGATGTTGGCTAGTGGAGGTGATGGTTTGTGCCTGATTGTTAGTTGAATGGCCAATGGCGATGGCAGTGATGGTTGGTGCGATGGTGGCAAATGGGGTGGCTGATAGAAGTAATGGAGGCGGCAGTTGGGTGACCTATGGCAATTATATGACTGATTGATGGTGGTGGTGGCGACTAATAGCTCAAGGTGAGAACTTGTGAGAATACTTCTAGAGAGAAGATTGAGAGTGAGACCTCTTTAGAGAATATTGAGATTACCATAATCTTTAGTGAAGTTTGAATGTATCTCTAGTGAAAGACTAGAGAGCTTGACTCTTTGTAATCTTTCTTTTGACATAGTGAAAGATTTTCTCGACTAGTGTCCCGTGGTTTTTACTTTTTCACTTTGAAGAAGGTTTTCTACGTTTCTCTGTCTCTCTCACTTCTGCATTTTCATTTCTGCTGTGTATTGGCCGACCTGTGACTTTAGGTTGACCTCTGAGTGCCGAGCTCCGAGCTTGACGTGCCGACTTGCAAATACGCGCTTCCGTGCTGACTTAAGCGACCCGAATTCCCAACAAACTTTTCCTTCTTGAAAATTATATGAATTAACATTAAATAATTTTTTTATTAATGGAAAATGTGTAATGACATTATAAATTCTATTTAAGATTAACAATTCACATCACCTTGAAATGAAAAAAAAATTCTCAAGGACGTGGATGGTATTCATTAGCCTAACATAAAAAGAGTCATTCTTCACCCCATGTGAGAACTTTGATGCTTGATGATTAGTAATCTTTTTATAAATTCTCCAAGAGGTTGGTCGGTTTGTCCTGACCCTAAATGAATATTGGCGTATAAAATCATGTAATATTTTTTTTACAAAAAAGAAAAATCTCCCTTCACCTTAATTTCTTTAGATGATAAGAAATTTGGGTCAGATAACTAGAGAAAAATGAATGTATGTTAAAATGAAGGGCTTTTCTTTTCTCATATCACATGAGATAATATTTCTCATGTAATAGACACAACAAGTAATGGGGCCCACCTTTTATTAAAAAAGAAAAAATAGATAATACAGATTTCGATGTCTCACAATATAAGAAACTTAATCAGAAAATGATTTCGCTAAAATGAATGAATGACTCTAGGAAAATCAAAAGGGAGATTTTGTTCAGCTTCCTAAAAAGGGAAAAATTTAATATGCTCCAGGTCCATCATTTATTTAGTGGTCCCTTTCTATAAATAAAAAATTTTCTTCCATTTCTACCCTTTTCTTTTTTATTTTTTCTTCCTCCGTCCTTCTTTTTTTTTCATTTTGGGAAGGGACCACCATGGTCCCGGCCCATAAAAAATCTTCTCCCTAAAAGGAGTGCAAAAACTCAATAAATTAAGGGGTGTACTGAAATATCAGATTCGTCAATTAAATATTATGCATGAGGGAGAACAATAAGAGATGATTGGCAGAGGGCTTTGATTGAAACGGTTCAGATGATACAGATTGAGTCATAAGTCATTCAAAATTCTTCCTTTTCAATACACCAATGGTTCTTATAGCGGGAGAGTGACTATTTTGCCACGTTTGAACAAAAAAATTATCAGACTGTCACGTCAACAGTAAATTTTGTCAAAATGCCACATGGCAGTGTAGCGAATTATGTATGCAAGTAATTCGCTACACAGTGTAGCGAAATATGCCACGTCAGAACCAAAAATGCCACATGTCAAATTTTGGAAAATTCGCTACCCTATGTAGCGAATTTTGCAAAATTTGACACGTGACATTTTTGGTTCTGTGCGTTCTGACGTGGCATATTCGCTATACTGTGTAGCGAATTACTTGCATACATAATTCGCTACACTGTGTAGCGAATTATGTCGCGTGGCATTTTGGCAAAATTTACTGTTGGCGTGGCAGTCTGATAATTTTTTTGTCCAAACGTGACACTTTGATCACTCTCCCCCTTATAGCTCAACTTTTGAGGAATTTTTTTTGAAGAAAATAAATGCAACAAAAGATTTAAAGACACCTGTGAGGCGTTAGCTGAAGTGCCATAATACAAAAGAATTAGATTTCGATTTCGAACTATTGCTGATATTATTTTGTATAAAGTAGAAAAACTGATTGCAAGTTGAAGTTACCAACGTCAAGATGGCCGAGTTGGTCTAAGGCGCCAGTTTCAGGTACTGGTCCGAAAGGGCATGGGTTCGAATCCCATTCTTGACATAAATGCTTTTTTGTCCTCTTCTCTATTTCTCATGTATTATTATATGACACGAATGACTCTATTTTGATGGGCCTTTTTTAATGTGTGAAAGTGAAATAAATTATGGATGAGTAGTGATTAGCTGGCCTTGATCCACAAGTAGTATCCCAGGTTTTGCTTCGAACATAAATTTTTAATTACGAGGAACAATACCTTTTGATGTCAAGGAAAATGAAGGTTACACATTATTACTCCAACATTATCTTAGATTAATATGACTATAATAGAACTAGAATGTAAACATATAACAAAAAGTTAGTAGACTCAGTTGTAATCAAATAATAAAAACCCGATATGCATTAAATAATGTGCATATAAATATATGAATAGCATTAGTCCAATATCAAAGCCTTAACTTTTAAAACTAACTAAAATCAAGACCAAAATAATATTATAAAACGGTTAGCTTGATGTAGTGAATGATCCATTCTGTTGGAAAATAACCTTCAATATTATCTATGGTCCTTTTGTGAACAGTAATGTTACTTATAATTAAAAGTTTTTTGCATAATTTTCATCACATCACTGTCCATTTCTTTCATTATTATTTTCTCTCTCTTTTATTCATTAACATTAGCGATATAAATATATTTTTTGAGTTATGGGTTGTGCATTACCTGCAATTAACATTACACTTTGTAAAAATATATTCACAACACTATAAAATATAAAGTCATTGAAAAAAGCATGACAAGTTCACAAATATGAAAGCAAATTAGGGAAAATTGCACTTTTAATGCAAATTAAGTTTTCGAGCTCAGGCAATTACCTAGCTGCATGTAAAACAAAACTGACACTAAACATCCAAATAATTTAATTTAAACATGTGAAATTTCTAAAGAGCATTATTAAAATCCAAATTTAAAATTTAATCAAGGTAATTAGGTTAAATACCTCTATAATCCGACACAATTTTCTAAACACTCAAACCTCCTCACACAAGCTTAGCATTAACAAAGGAATCATGTTTCTATAAAGATGATTTCTCAAGTTTAATGAAACAATGAAACTCAGTGACTAAAGTCAATCACCAAATACCTGGTTTAAGGGATTGTTTCAGCCTAACAAGTAATATCGAGTTTGAGTTCGTAAAAATGCAAAATACAGCTATAGTAAAATTTGACAAGAGTTTTGTCATTCATACAACCATACTTCACTCGAATCGAACAAGCGAAATAATTAATAAACTGATAGATAATATCAAAAAAATAAAATAAAAAATTAGGTACGGATTTACTTCTCCAATCTTTTATGTTGTTAGGACTTCAATCCAGTAATCTGTTTTGCTATGAACAACCTACAGTTAATCCAATTTATCCAAGAGCAAAAGTAGATAGGTAAAATTCCAATGAGGAATATATTTATCATATTACATGAAATAAAATTATCGCAACACAAAATGAATGAAATCCACTAAACCAAGAAAAAAGAAAAAAAATTCTCTCACCTTTTGCTTGTGCATAAGACAATTATATCATATATTTCCCAATTTCAATAAACTAAATACTTTTGTTTGCGATTATGAGTCCAAGTTTTATTTCACAAAATTCTTTCTCAAATAAAAATATTAAAAAAAATGATTAAATTTTATTTTGAAAGGAAAAAAGTAAAATCTCAGGAATGCTACCTTTATTTTCAAAGATTTTGCTTTGTTCAATTAGAATGCACAACAACCGATCCTGTTAAAAAACATTGACCACCTTTCCACCAAATATGCCTTTTTTGAGATTGACACTGGCGGCAAAACTCAAGTGGAAATTAGGATACTCGGAGTAAATGAGACAAGATCTTGATGAAATTTAAATGGAAAGAAAATAATCATGAAAACAAACCAAGATAAAAACTTCTCAATATTTTATACAAAATAGATTATGAAAAACAGACTTTTAAAATAGCCATTCCTATGGCAAACTCGCATTCATGAGCACTTAAATAATGAAAATTTATTAGAACAAAGTACGGATTAGATTTATGTTAAACTATGCAGGCGGTCACACTTATTTTTGAGGATTCGAGTAAGTTCTACATCAATCTTGATGAAACGCATTCCAATGTACACTACTCGCATGTGGATATCCTTTCAAAATAACAAGTGCACTTGTTCAACAGAATACGGTAACATAATAAAATCTAAACTATAAAAAGCACAACAATCCAAAAACTCAATTTCAAATTAAGTTCCACATTCGTAGTTAACACCATTCAAAGTCAAAACTTCTTAAGCACAAATCTTAATGAATTCATTCATGAAGCACAAAGCTTAACTCTTGGATGTTTGTTTTTCTTTTGCCTTCTGGATCTTCAATACCTTTTTCACAATTTTTTGCTCTTCAACAAGGAAAGCACGGATTATCCTATAACAAGATTAAGTAATCATCAAATTTACTTCAAGTAAGAAGAAATTTGAAAATAATCATGTCAGATTTTTTTCTGTCAACATACCTTTCTCTAACAGCACCTCCAGATAATACACCTCCATAGGCCCGGTTTACTGTCCGGCGGTTCCTAGGCAATCTAGACCTCTTGTATTCAGCAGGTCTCAAGTGTGGAATCTGAAGATTAAGTTTTATATCAGAAAATCATGATACGAGAAGACTCGCCACTACTAAAAGGAAAGAAAGACACAGACAGAAATAACATGGAAACTTCAAAACTGGCACATACAATGATGGATGAAAAATATTAGGTTATGCCCAAACAAAAAACAAGGAAAAAAAGAAAGATGTAAATTTTTAAGGAAAATTATAAAGAAAGAACGATAAGCAAGAAGTGAAGTAGAACGCAGGGGAGGGTCAAGCTCCCATAGAACAAGTGACAAGACATTCATCACATGTGCCTTAACACATAAATACTCATTAGTTGAACTTAGTTACTTAAGACTGCCAACAAACACAAAAAGTATTGCAGAATTATAGCATTCATCAATCTCCTTCTCAGCAGTCCCATACACAACATTCAATCCAATGAGATAGATCCTCAAAATAAACAGCTCACTCTCACTCTCACTCCCACAACTCACTCAATAAGCTAAACCAAGTTCATTTAGACATACACCCTTAACAAAAGTTAGATTTTAAAATCTGTTTGGCATCAAATTAAATCAGAAGACAGAATAAAAATTAAAAAAACCCAGAAATTTTCAACTTCACCCCTTTTTCGGGACACAATAGACAAATTTACTAACAGCATACAAAGCACGACTGTTTGGGGTATCCAATTCTTTCATAAATAACTCAAATCTCTCTCTATTTTTTTTAAAAGAATATAAATCAGATTCGGTACAATGAATCACTAATCACTAAGCCTAAGTCTTCAAAGCCAAATTTTAGTTATCAAATTCCATTTTATCCATCTGCCAAAATAAATAAATAAAAAAAAGCAATCTTATACAAACATACATACCCCTTGGATCCTCTTTCCAGTTACAGGGCATTTGGGTCCACTTGCTCTCTTCTTAGTGCTCTGGTACACCAATTTCCCACCTAAGACAAACCCATTTTCAGTGGTTACATAAAATGCCAAACAACAAAATCAAAATCAAATTTTGAGAACAACTTAAAAGGCACACACGAGGGATCAGAATATAACACACAATTTGGGCAAAAATTTAAATAATAAAAAAATTACCAGGGGTTTTAACAACCCGGTGCTGATTGGACTTGGTAGCATAACTATGGCGCTTCCGATATGTGAGCCTCTGCACCATGTTGTTGGTGTGAGTTATACCTAGAACTACAAAAAACGAAGGTTAGGGGCGTTAGGGTGTGTATGAATAACGAAGCAGTTTAAATAGAGGCTTCTCTCAAAACCCTACATATCACATTGGGCCTCCTCATTGGGCCATATCTTTTTCTTTTACAAACCGAACTTTCCATCTAAGCCCAAACCAAAAGTCGGTCCGTTTCAAGGGTATATTTGTTTTTTTTTTTTAAATAAAAAAAATACATTTCTTTAATTGGATGAATATTTAATAGTATAATAAATGTCATGAAAGATTTTATTTATGGATTTCTGCCCTGAATCTCCACAAATCCTTGATAATTCCATGCATAGTGCTTGCTCATCCTGAATTATCGCATATTATATACAGCAATATGGCAAATATTAACAACACCATCTGTGTTGTGTAAATGTTTAGGATTCGTACATAATATTAGTTCTCACAATATTAAAAAGGATTTCTTGCGGGACTTCAACTTAAGACTTACAACTAAAGTGTTATATGATCCTTAACATTTTCAAGCAAGAATTATTGAACTAAGACCTAGGAGCGAAATGTTATATGTCCTTACCAATTAAACAAAACTTTTGGTTACATTTACATTTGTATTGTATATGAATTAAAAAAAAATAAAAATAAGAGGTCTTGATTTCAAAAAAAAAGAAAAAAATAAGAGGTCTTGTTTTGGGATTTGATTATTTTCTTAAAAACTAACATTCAAGTTATAAAATATATATATTATAAAATATATATATATATATATATATATATATATATATATATATGAAGAAGGTTATACTTACAGCTTTTTTTTATAACCTCTTACAATCGTAGTTTAACACCGTTGATTTCCGCCAATCAACGGTTATGATTTTCACAAATTAAACTCATTAATTAATTATTAATTCACAATAAATGATAACCGTTGATTGGTGAAAATTAACGGTGTTAAGATATAGTTGTAAGAGGTTGTAAAGAAAAAATGTCGTAAGTATAACCTTCGTCTATAAACATATATATATATATATAAATTATTTTAAAGTTTTTTATGAGATTTACATTTCATCCCTTCCTGATGCATTTTTCTGTAATAAATTTCTTCTTACATGTTTCAACTCAAAAGAGTATCATTTTGCACCCTTAAAACTCAATATTTTTTCCATTAAAGGCGTTATAATTAAATAATCAGATTGTTTGATTGATAAAATTAGTAAAATCAACTTATAAGGGACGAAATTAATAAGCTATGTATCAATGAAGAATAAAAAATAGTTTTATTATCTATAAGTAAGATGCTATATGGTTTTAATCAATAGAAAATAAATGAGGGTTTTATAACATAATATATTAATTATTAGAATTTGCTCAATTCAATTTGTTTTGAATTATTTTAAAGAAGAAATTTATATAACTATCTTAAGAAAATTTTCTGAATCGAACCAGCAACTCGATAATTGTATTAAAAAAATCTTCACTATTTCAAAAATGACCTTCCAAATGTGAAGGAGCATATGAACAAAAGCTTGCAATTAACTATCAAGTAGGAAAAAGTAAGAATGATGGTTCTACACGAATCCTTCGGTTTACAAAATTGATCTTGTTTAATTTACTACGACACCATGCTAATTGATCCGTCGTTATTCTTGACATGTTCAACACTCTCCAAACCAATTTCATATCAACTTGAGAGAAAAAGTAAAGCACTTGATCCGTTCCATCTTCACGATGCTTCTGAAACTTCTTCAATATGCAACTTCCACTCCTCAAAAGGTCTCTTAGTCTCTTTTCCTTCTGCAAATCCAATCAATAAAATGTTACATAAAGGAGGAACATAACACAACCCTTTTTCAAAAAGAAAAAGAAGAAAGTTAATTTACATTTAACACAAAAAAATATGAGACTTTAGAAGATTTAATTACCTTATGAAGATCTGTTCGAATCTCCACTAGAAGCTCTGAATCTGCAGGGTCTTGGAATTCTACTTGATTTTCTTTTATTAGACCTTTGTGTGTCAAGTTAGTTGCATCTTTATCAGCTCTTATAAAACGCCAAATTGTTCTGATTGATTCTTCCAAAATTTCCACTAGCATGTCACTTGTGATGGCATCTTTATCTACCTCTCTTTTTGTGAATTTCTTTTTATCCTTGGCATTGTCTTCTGCAGCCAATTAAGGTTAAAGCCATCAGGAATTGTTTTTGTTCAATATATGGAACTTTATATGGTCCCCCACATAGCTCAAAGGGACACTATGAAAGTGGGGACAACAAAAGTAACCACTAATTAACTTCCATTTTGAAAAAAGAAACTAACCAAATTCATGTTATTTTTAAAGTTCTCACCTCTTATAACTGGAACTTGAAGAAGATTGCGCATGACACAACGATTCCTTGCATAGTTTTCAACCCGTGGACCTTGGAAAGGTTCATTCTCTATAAATCTTTGGAGAAGCACTTGAAATTGTTGAAACTCCCCAGCTACTTCATTGAAACTTTTCAATCCGTACTGGTCAGATTCCCATAGCTTCAAGGCCTTTTCATATTCCCACTGAAGGAATTCCCAAGAAAGACACAACTGTCCCACATAAACCATTTCCAAATCACTGTATAATTCTCTTACGAACTTTTTCATTGGGTCAGCTTCTTCAGTATTTTTACGTCTAGAAAGGCGAAAGCCGCGTGGAAGAATGCATGTGATTGCTGGAGAAGGGTTCTTGCAGCTTGAAAATGATTGGAGTGGGTCCTTTGACTGCAGAAAACCTACAAATTTCCAAGAAACTTCTATAACTATGATTGGGGCTTTAACTTTTAACCATTAAGCATAATGCAAAGGCCACTTAGGATTATATAACATAACTTTCCTTGAGAATAGTTTTCCTAACTTTTCTTGCATAGTTAATGTTGTTTATGGACACACACACACAAAAAAAGGGGTCATGGAAACATTGGGTGGAGCATTACAATCAATGCTAGATCATTGTAGGGACAAGTTTCTTTAGGAAACTAGACAAAGGTTTGCCACAATAAGAAAATGTCCAAATGTTAGGCCGGTGGAAAAAGGGAAGTGCGTATTTTGATGTATACAAATCGTTTAGTTATATGATAATTTTGCTTAATATAAAGGAGAAGGTGGTAGCTCTATGTGAGTATACATTTGTTTGTTAAATACTTATTAGAGTTATTAAACAAGGAAGAGTCGTAACACTAGCAATCATGGCTGGTGGAAACAATAGAGGACAGAAATTAATGCGAGCAAAGTGCAGAACCAAGCATGTGGAATAAAAAATTGCTCAATTCCTTAATGCCCAGCTCCCAATCCAACCTCTTTTCCTTGTTGTAGTAACAAAATGAATAAAAATGAATTCAATTGATACTATATTTAAAGTTGAGTATCCCCCTTGCCCAAAACAAAACCAACCAGAAAAAGAGAAAAAATAAAAGTACATCTGTTTCATAATTCACTCCACTGCTAAGTATTTGGGTAATTCATGCTTTCTCAGTGCCCAACTAACCAGATTTAGTGGGTCCTTACCTCTACTTTTAACGATGTAGGTGAGGTAGGTCTTGATGATCATGTAAGTTAAATGAAATCACTCATCCATCAAGCACACACTCTTTGAACAAGAAAGTAAAAAAAAAAAAAAAAAAAAAATTGAAAAAAAAAAAAAAAAACTGCTGAAGAAAGGAAAATAAAATTAAGGTAATGGATAGAAAATACTGACCTATAGCATACATCTTTTGGTAATTTAAGATATCGAATTTTCGCATTCGTTCTCGGTAACTCTTGTAGAATTTTGGAAGCTCATTTGTGGTACTACCATGCTGGAATTTTTCATCAATTTTCCATGGCTTCAAGTCTTCCATTATCCTTGGAGACTCAGAATCCTCAAGGATTGTAGGTAGACCAGTGGCTCTGACCTTCTTCAGCTCCATCTTCAGCTGTTCTATCAAATCTTGATGTTCCCACAGTGTGTCAAACCGGTTGGAATCCTCAAGATCAAAAGCTGTTAAACTTTGTGAATTGGGTTTCATAGATTGTTCATGGTTGGAATTGTTGCTATCTTGAAAACTGTTACCTGAAGACTTCTGCAGCCTAGACTCTTCTTCTAATTTTCCAAGTTCATCCATTATATCTTCATCTTCTTCAGCAAAATCATCATGCTCATAGCCAACATCCAAATTCTCTGAGTTTCTCTCATTCCAAAAGTCCAAATCTTCTTCTGTTAAGACTGCATTTTCTTCTTCATTCTTTCCCAATGTGTCAAGCTCGATAGAACTGATAGAATCTGAGTCACTGCTTGAACAAATGAAATCGTCTTCAGAAGGGAAATTATGTGCAACTGGTTCCAAAGGTTGTTCTATACATTGTACAACCTTGAGCTTCTCTGACACTACCTCTTTGTGTACCCTTTCTGTGAAATTATCAAGAATTTCTGCATTAACACCTTCACAATTTCCTGGCTTGAATTTTCTCTCAGATAAGAACCCAGAATCATTGCTAACATGATTTTCCAATGGAAGATCATCATTTGAATGAACAAATAATTCTTTGACAGTAAAATTTGCAGCCTGTGGTTCATCCAAGAAGTGGCTGAAACTCTGACCTGAGTTGAACTCATACTTGTTGGTGCTTGCAGAAACGGCAGTATCCCTTTTCACAAAATCGCTACTTTCACCAGAGCTTCCCTTGAATTCTTCAATATTGTTGCAATCCCAACTTTGATATTGGAATTTGAAGACCAACTTTGTTGTCTCCTCTTCTTCAATACCAAAATTCCCACTATCATCAACGGTTTCAGAACTACAGTCTTTCACGGCTTCTGATTTTGGTTGGCAATCATTAGAATCAATTTGATTACTTTCATGTGAGAGAGAATCAAGTAGTGCCCCAAAATTTCCAGAATTGAACAGAGTTTTTCCAAAAGATTCAGAAAATCCTTCTCCAGCCTCAGTTTTCGGCTCAGAATGATGATTTTCATGGGAAAATTTAGAAGAACAAACTGAGTTCATTGCTTCAGGACTATAGAATCTGAAAATAGAAAACAAAAAACGAAACAAAACAGAGAGATATTAAATTGATGACTAATCCATCCATACTGAACCATGTAGTTAAATTTGTAATGGAAAATTCAATACCTCAAGAAGACTTTGGTGAAAATCCAGAACAGAGTTTGCATAAGCTTAGAAAGAAAAACCCAAAAATAGCCAGAAAAAAGATCCATCTTTCTGTGAAAAAAACCTTTAGGAGAAACCATGTTCACCGAAAAGGAAGTGGATATTTCACGCAAATCTCGTTGAGGCACGTAGGGAATGAATTCATGAACAAGTTCATTCCTTTTGAAGCAAAACAGAGGAAGAGGAAACAGAGCAGGGTCATGCAAACTCTGATTTGTAGTTTGAAAATTTTCATGAAAAGGAATGGGACCCTGCACCTACACAGACAAAGATATACGTACAAACTCTCACACCCACAAGAGGTTTTCACATGGTGAATCCGATTCAGCAGAGGTTGAAGTGTTACCTAATTGGTGAGACTCAGAGGGGAATGGAAGCGCAATAAGATATGAGAAGAAAAGAACATGTCAGCGACTTGTGTTTGAACTAATCTTATGGTTGCTTAGAACAAAGGGATTTTCTGTTTCCTCTGTAACGTTATGTGATAGACTCAACGGGGATTTTCCATCATTTCTGTTGTGCCTTCTCTTTTGTATGATTCATTGGTTGAGCAGAGAGAACAAAATAAATATTGGGTTAAATTGAAAGTTTACGAAAATATACATGTTTTTCCAACGGAATAGGTTCCCTTGAAAAGTTAACATGATATTTTTATAGGAAGATCCGGGAAGGATATTGTAACAATTAAGTTGTGTTATTATTATGTTACTATCAATTAATTTCACACTTAGATCGATTATATTGATCCAACGGCTATATTTATTTTTATATTTGTATGGTTATGATTCCCCATATTTAAAGTAAAAGCATTAAATATGAAAAATTATAACCATACAAAAGTAGAAATAAATATAAAGTATTAAATTTGAGAAATCGTGACCATACAAATATGAAAATAAATATAACCATTGGATCAACATAATCGATCTAACGGTGAGATTAATTGGTAGTAACACAACTTGATTATTATAATATCCTTCTTATGTATTTATCTTTTTCCTTTATCAATTTTAATATGATTTAACTATTTAGTGTTTTTAAAATGAGAGATAAAAGACAAAAATTTCACCTAACGAGAACATCTTAAATGTTAATATCCATTCCAGTTTTCAATATTTGTAAGGTTGGGGGAAGGAGTGTGTAGGGTGAAAGTTCACATTTCATACCTTTTTTTGGGTCAGTGTGAAATTGATTGGTTAGAAGAAAAAATCAACCAAGGGTGGCTTAGGAAAGAACCAAATAGTTGACATGGATTATGGAGTTTAGAGTGTTCAAAATTCAAATTCAACTTCTTCTTTTTTTTGGCTATAAGTTATGTAAAACTTATGACTTTGATTTTAACAAATAATAATAATAATGATGATTTTACTTAAAATTAAATGTAAGGACCCACGTTTTTTTTATCACCCTGCAAAAAATATTTAAAACTAATGGTTTTTAGTTCAACAAAAAACAAAAATAGTAGCTTGATTGAAATCAAATAGTTGAGCATAATTGATTACAAGAGCTCTAAATAGTAACATTTGGAGATTTTATTTCTTCCCTTTTATCATTTTGTAATTGAAGTAAATGAGAGGCCCGTAAATGAATGCGCTTGGCAGGAACCCACGAGCATAAAAATCACATCATTGATGAAGGATGAAACCACTAAACACTAATTCGTGGAAAGGAAATCAAGATATATAAGAGCGAAGATAAACCTTTCTTTTTCTTCGGGATTTTATTAATTTCCGTGTGAGGGAAGAAAATCGGTGAAAGTAAAGTTGGAGAAACTGATGTTAACTTGGAAGTTCTCAGAAAACCAAAAAAGTCAAATCAACCGTGTTATTCCAGAAACGGAAAAATCAATCAAAATAAAAATACTAGAGTGATATTCTCCATTTTTTACGTGACCGAAAAGGAATTTCGTTATTATTTTTATAAAATATCTTTTCATTCCATAGGTGAGATTTCTCAGATATAGTTAGAAATTAAAGACTGAAATCACTTTCAAAAATATTTTTTTCATAAATTTAAGGATGGAATTTAGAATCACATGCTTAACATAACATACTGTGTATTTATGTGAAAATATCATTATCTAAATAATGAATATAGCATAATAAAAGTATGTATAACATATATAAAAATAATTTAAAGTTTAATATGACACTAGTTTCTATATGCATGAGATACATAGATATATAATATGTGTACGTAAGATTTATTAAAAAAAAAAGTATTAAACTGGCCGGCATTGTTTAACTTATTAAATATGTGGATAAATAAAAGTACTAAAATTTTCTTTAAAATGTTAGAGTATTAAACTTGTATTACATAAGTTTTTTGAGGTAGGATGTAACAACCAATCAATTTTTCCGTTAGATCAATTATGTTGATTCAATGACTATATTTATTTTCATCTTTGTATGGTTACGATTCCTCATATTTAATGTGAAAGCATTAAATATGAGAAATTATAATCATACCAAAGTGAAAATAAATATAAAGTATTAAATATGGAGAATCATAACCATACAAAGATGGAAATAAATATAACTGTTGGATCAACATAATCGATCTAACGGTGAAATTGATTAGTAGTAATATTGATAGTAACACTAATTGATTGTTATAATTTATATATTATATTTTCCTTAAATCCTGTTAATCCCATACATATTGAAATAATGAAAACATTGAACCTATAAACTTAACAAAATAAATTATGTTATGTATATTCACAAAAGTTTAAATAATAATATATAGGGAAAAGTATTTGTCATTTTGAATGACATAAAATTATGTCATTTTAAGAGAGAGATAGACATAAAACAATATTCTTTTTTATTTAAAATTTAAATTAAAAAAACCATCAACTTTCTCCCCCATGATTTTTATTTTTTGTATCTATCTCTTTTCTAAAATGATATAACTTATGTCCTTTAAAGTGACAAATATCAAACCCTAATATATAACTTAATTATTATTAATAATTGCTATCCTTATATTTAAACTTTTTTCTATATAGAGTAGTCCCAATGATTAATTATTTTAAATTATTATCCTTATTAATATATCGAACTCAAGACCAATGAAGTTGGAACAAATTTATATAAATTGATTCACGTAATTGGTGGTTAAGTTATACATTTTTTTTTTTTTGGTAAAGAAAGTTATACATTTTTAACTCATATAGTTTTGTCTCAAATTTATCTTTGATTCAGATAAAGGCATCATGTTAAAAGGTAAGAGATAAAATTAGTTTAATTAAATAACATGAAAATATTACTTTAAGGGAAATATAAGAATCATGTTGCAGGAATGGCACTGTTTATTCCTGCAACAAGGATACGGTGTCGTATCCTGAGGATACGGCGTCGTATCCTGAGGATACGGCGTCGTATCCTGAGGATACGGCGTCGTATCCTGACTTTGGTCTGACTTTTTTTTTTTAAACGTGGGACCCACACTTGATTTGTGTGTGTAGGAAAGTGCTCTTGTCATGTCAAATGACAAAAAGGGCACCCTTACTTTAATTATAATAATCAATTTTTTAATGGTTTAACAATATACACAATTAGATAATAATATACCATTTAAGTTCTTTTGATGTATATATTACGTAACAATACTAAATTTAAATAAAGTATTATTTATTTATTTAATAGCATTCGAATATATTTTTTTAATAAAATATTATTGTTCAATTCTATTGGTTAGGCGATGTTCTCAACATGCATTGACCATGATGGATTCTTGAACCCAAAATTTGCTTTACCCCGTACGTCTTAGATTCAACATTTTGGAATTTCCTCGGCCGGTACAACCCTGCGTCAAGGAACATTCGAACCAAAAGAAGACAAAAGCATAAAAAGGTGCTTTGGGGCATACCAATTATTACAAGGGCAAGAGAAAGAGAAGCTAGGTAGTCCATGATAAAATATGTAGATTAAATTAGAAAACACTGAGTTAAAAAAAATTAATATTAATTGGGCTAGTTTAATTGATGTAAACAGGTTGGCTCATAATGGGCTAAGTCAACTTGATAGCTTGATGTTTCATTTTTTTATTAAAGTCTTATAAAACAATTTATATTAAATAATTTACCCTTTCTTTTATAAAAATTAATATTTGCATGATAACATTTCAATTGATATTTGTTGAGACATGATCCTTTAATTTCAAATTAAAAGTTTGATTTTAGTGAATTTAACGGTTATAATTTATTGAGTCACACTTATTAATTAATTTATTAATTAACAATAAATATTAATTGTTAGATTATCGAAAATCAATAATGTCGAAGTATCATGTCCGTGTTGAATATTAACTCCACAAAAGAAATAGAAAATAATATAGCATAAGAATAAACTTTTAAAATGTTACAAAAAAAAAATATTTCTTAAAAATAAATATTTCATGCGAACGGGCATCCTTCCGAAACAATGACCAAACTGTCACGTTTTTGAATTTTTTTTTACCAAATTGCCATGCGAACAGTATTTTTTACCGGACTGCCACGCGTTGAAGTTCGCTACGACTAGTAGCACACTTGGTAGCCAATAATTTCATGACACGTGACACACTTACTGCCACGTGTCACAAAATCATTGGATACCAAGTTCGCTACCGGTCATAGCGAACTTGGACACGTGGCAGTAAGTTTTTTCAGCGAAAATGAACCACGTGTGAAGAAATCATCGACTATGAAGTTCGCTACTAATCGTAACGAACTTCATCGCATAGTAGCCTAGTAAATTTTATTGTTAGCATGACAGTTTTATATATAAATGCCAAAAACGTAGCACATTGGTCACTGTTTCCATCCTCCCAACCCGTGGCCCACACAAAGTTAAATTAGGTTAGTAATTTAGTAGCTTGAAACACTTATAGCCCTCACTAGTTGCAGGCTAGTCCGAAATTTACTTGGCTTAAGTGATAGGAATTGTTACAAAATAGGAAAATGTCTATTGAGACACTCTTCTTTGTCTATTACCACAACTTTGTTTCCCATTTTCCTAAAATGTCTCTTAGTAAGTGGTAGAGTCTTCTTTGATGAACCTTGTTTCTTATTTTTCTAAAATGTCCCTTGTTAAGTACTAGAGTTAAACTAGCAATATATTATGGGAAAAACTACCCTTATGTTATATGTGATAAGTTTCTCTCCTACACACCCTTCGTTAACTATGCCACCTTTTTCTTTTCTTTTCTTTTTATTTTTCAGGTGGTGGAGCTAACAAGTTTATCTCTATGACATGAGATAACTTATCTCCTTTAACATGAGATTAATAAAACTCATATATTATTACTCCTACATCGATATGAGTTTTTGAATAAAATCAAAATAATTAATTTTAAATACAAAATTATTTCCTAATTAATTTATATAATAAATGCAAAGGGTTTTGATTTTATCATTAAATCACAATAGGTTTTTTCTTGTGTAGTGATAATTAATAAATGTGGTGATAATTAATGTTATTCAATTTAATATAAGAAATTATTCAGATTAAAAGATTAAGCCTTTTATTTTTTTCATTTCAATAATTATAT